ATTGCTTCCTGATGTTAAATTCCTGACTTGTTATTTTCACTAAGTCTGTAACCTGGTATCTTTTGCACTTTTGCCATGCTTGTTTGAACCTAATATTGAGTGAATTAGCCATAGCTCAGTGTTCATCTTTTGTCAAGCATCTTGAGTGGATCCCTGCCATGTGTTTTGTTGCTATGTTAGAGTGCAGTAGCTTGTTGTTCTTGATGCATTTAGATGGCCTCGTGTTGTTAATCGCAGTTCGGTGCCATAATTGTTTTGCTTGTCATTTCCAAACCGTGCATCCGATTCTGGTGATCTTTATATCGATTTCGACCGAAATAAACTCCTCTTTCCAGTGGCACTCTTGGTTTTCCAAGTTTAGGCCAGGTTCAATCTTTCCTTTCTGAAACATGCATATGCATTGCATATCTCATCCCGCATATCATGTCATGTCTTGCATCATGTTGCTTGTGCATTGCCCGGGGTTGATTGTGTCTCCCTTTGCTTGTGTTCTTGCTTGGGTAGAGCCGGGAGACGAGTTCATGTTCGAGGACCCGTTGAGTACGTTTACGAGGTTCAAGCTTTCGTCTTCTCGGAGAACTTTGCAGGCAAGATGACCATACCCTCGAAGCACTTCTATCTTTGCTTGCTAGATGCTCTCTCTTTTGCTATGCCTATGCTGCGATACCTACCACTTGCTATATCATGCCTCCCATATTGCTAAGCCAAGCCTCTAACCCACGTTTCCTCGCAAACCGTTGTTTGGCTATGTTACCGCTTTGCTCAGCCCCTCTTATAGTGTTGTTAGTTGCAGGTGAAGATTGGAGTTTGTTCCATGTTGGAACATGGATTTGTTGGGATATCACAATATATCTTGTTTACTTTAATGCATCTACATACTTGGTAAAGGGTGGAAGGCTCGGCCTTATGCCTGGTGTTTTGTTCCACTCTTGCCGCCCTAGTTTCCGTCATACCGGTGTTATGTTCCTTGATTTTGCGTTCCTTACATGGTTGGATTATAATGGGAACCCCTTGACAGTTCGCCTTGAATAAAACTCCTCCAGCAAGGCCCAACCTTGGCTTTACCATTTGCCACCTAGCATTTTCTTTCCCTTGGGTTCAGACTCAAGGGTCATCTTTATTTTAACCCCCCCCCCCCTCCCGGGGCCAGTGCTCCTCTGAGTGTTGGTCTGAAATGGGCAGCCTGCGGGGCCACCTCGGGGCAACTCGAGGGTTGGTTTTACTCGTAGCTTGACCTATCTGAGTGTGCCCTGAGAACGATATATGTGCAGCTCCTATCGGGATTTGTCGGCACATTCGGGCAGCTTTGCTGGACTTATTTTATCATTGTCAAGATGTCTTGTAACCGGGATTCCGAGTCTGATCGGATTGTCTTGGGAGAAGGAATATCCTTCGTTGACCATGAGAGCTTGTGATGGGCTAAGTTGGGACTCCCCTGCAGGGTTTTGAACTTTTCGAAAACCGTGCCCGCGGTTATGGGCAGATGGGAATTTGTTAATGCCCGGTTGTAGAAAACCTGAAACTTAACTTAATTAAAATGAATCAACAGAGTGTGTAGCCGTGATGGTCTCTTCTCGGCGGGGTCCGAAAAGTGAACATGGTGTTGGAGTTATGCCTGAACGTAAGTAGTTTCAGGATCACTTCTTGATCATAGATTCTCGATCGTGCTTTGCCTTTATCTTCTCACTCTCATTTGCGTATGTTAGCCACCATATATGCTAGTGCTTGTTGCAGCTCCACCTCATACCTTTTGCCCCACCTATAAGCTTAAATAGTCTTGATTGCGAGGGTGTGAGATTGCTGAGTCCCCGTGACTCACAGATTACTTCCAAAACCAGATGCAGGGACCGATGATACCATTCCAGGAGATTCGACTGAGCTCAAGTGGGAATTCGATGAGGACTCAGGACGATACTACGTTTCTTTTCCAGACGATCAGTAGGTGGTGCCCAGTTGGGGTGATCGGGGACTTTGTCGCATTTGGGGTTGTTCTTTACTTTGGTTTCGTAGTCGGACCTTGAGTGTATCTGGATGAATGTAATGATATTTATGCTATTGTGTGACGTGGCGAGTGTAAGCCAACTATGTACCTCTTTTCCTTATTCATTACATGGGTTGTTGTGAAGATTACCTCACTTGCGACATTGCTTACAATGTGGTTATGCCTCTAAGTCGTGCTTCGACACGTGGGAGATATAGCCGCATCATGGGCGTTACAATTTACCACCAAGATAACTATGAAGGCTTCCACACCTTTAGTGATCAATTCATTAGCATATGTTTGACAACTTTTATGCAATAAGTCGTATGTGCTTCAGTCGAGCAAGTTGCGAGGGGCAATAATTTTCTTTCGAGAAGCGTTTGTACACTTGTTTTCTTCTAATTCATGTGCTTTTATTTGTCACCTTCTCCTAGGTAGGAGGCTTATTTTCCCATGTCACAATCATTTATTATTTAACTTATGACATGCAAACTAAGCATGCTTAGCAAGATCAATGAAAAACCGGTCTCTCAAATTTCAACAATCATATTTTAGCAGTTGAGAGTTCAAGCTTTCTAGCTTCTTGATAATTTGTTTTTATTTGGAAACATGTCTCAAGAAATTATTCTTTATTTTTGCCCGACACTTTTATTAAGACAACTGAAACCAAGATCATCTATTCCATACAGTTGCCAACTTTCACTAACCAATCGTCACTTAAGATGTGAAAGGCTTGTGATTATCTATTAGTAGAAATGTAGTAGTACTCAAGTTTGATTTTGCATCTAATATAGTTGTTTTCAGGATACAATAAAATTTCACATCGTAAATATCCACTAGTCATTGGAAAAGATTCCTCCCATGCTCCTAAGGAACTTGCTAACTCAACTTTTATTCCACGAACTAAGACGAGTAGTCTCGTCTTTACGAAAAAGATAAACAAGCTGAAAAAAGTAAAGATACAAGGTATTCTCAAATCTCCCTAAGCTTACAATCAAGTTGGCGGGACCCTAATACCTAATTTTGATCTGGTTCAATGGGCGCATCCTCATTCTTTCCCTTCTCAGGCTTCTTCATGCTGCAGGCAAGAGCAATACAATGGAAGCAGGATGTCATCCCTAATATTTGTTTTTGTTGTTCGGAGACCACCTCCAAAAGGAAGTTATTCTCTGCAGAATGCTTAGTGGTGACATCAACAAGGGCATTTGTACATACCATCAACCTTGTTTTCAAGTTCTTTTCTCATAATCCAATAGGCATCTATCCCTTCTCCGATTGTATTGACACACGATTTAGAAACCTTCTCAACTTCAACAATCTTTTCCTTAATCACATCAGGGGTCGATATTTCTTTCTTGCGTTCGCGAGGTGCGAGCCCTGCAGAGATTTAGGAAGAGATCCTTGTTTGTTGTACTTGTAGGTGTTCGAAGGGTGCATGTCTTTCTTCTCTTCTATTCTTTCCTCTTCTTCCTCGAGCTTCACCTCCTCTGGCTTCTCCTCTTGGGCACCCATCCTTCGGAGTTCTTCCCAGCTCCTCTGGGTCATGTCCTCCCAATCTTTGAGCGGTATGATCTTGCTTGATGAAGAGCTCGAGGAAGATCCCTTATCGCTGATGGATGTGCCTTGAGCATCATTGGAAGCTATGGAAACTGATGCCTTCTTGATCTTGTAAAGTAATGTCTGCTGGACAAGATGAATAAAGAGGTGACGATTAGATGGATAATGAGTCAAGGGTGTGACTCCCTTGCTCTTATAAAGGGCTACAAACCCTAGAATTCCGGATATTAGGCTTGAGGAGGACGTTAGGAGGAGATCAAAACAAATCGGAACTAAATCGGATGATCATAGAAGAATCCGAGAAAAAGACATGGCTTTGTATGAGCACGTGGTCATGCCACTGCCTAAATGCGAGCATTTTTTCAAAAGCTACTAACACGAAATGACCAAAGGTTATAAAAAAAGACGGCCTCGGGTATGAGCGAGGCGCTCTTACCTGGGGTCGTACAATACCTCCGCAGCAGATCGCCGAGTCCAGGAGAAAAGACAGTGTGCGGTACGAGCGTGGAGGTTCGTACCGAAGCTCATACTGAACCGATGTTCTTCGAAGTCCAAAGAAAAAGGCGGCCTCTGGTACAAGCGTGGTCGCTCGTACTGGTGTAGAATTGTGCTGGAGTCCAAAACGAAAGACGGCCTTGGTACGAGTGTATGTGCTTTTCCCTGGCCTTCTTAAGGCATTTGCTATGGTTCTCTCACACACTCGGTTTAAAAGGGTTATAGACGCCATCTGCTTTCCTTAGCCTTCTTAAGATATTTGTTAAATTTTACGTGTGTAAGGAATACATTTTGCTTCTGTTGTGAGAGTTGCAATTTGATCATAAAACCCTTTTATTGCATTATTTTGTTAATTTGATTTTTCGAGACTTGTTGTATATACATTTTTGCAGTTATTTTGTAGTGCTATTCTAACCTATAAAGACTCTAGCCAACTTGCCTCTAGCATGCTCCCCCGATTAGGCCGTTTGTAGCCGTTAGACCGTGGTAAAAATTCCACCTTGGCTCTCCTCCTCCGTTGGATATTTATTGTCTGTTTCATCTTGTTGTTTCTTTCACGCGTGTATGACCAGTGGGCATCTTCTTTTTTTGAAGGGAGACCAGTGGGCATCTTCGTCGGTGGGGTCGCTATGTGCTGGCTGGGGGCGGTGTGGAACGGTGCGATTGGTCGTTCATCCCGAAAAGCCCATTGGTCACCCAATTTTATAATACCTGCCGTACATTTGCTAGCGGAGGTATCTACGGTATAGTGCCGCTCCCGGAGTGTCACATTTTACCCTGTCTACAAATGTTATTCAGAACTTCGAACAATGCTGCTCACACAATGACACTGTCAAACCAAATTTAACAGAGACACAGACCGGATTAACCAACACCCAGTAACAGCCTGCAAAAACCATCTCAACTACTGCAACTCATTGCAGTATCATCACACCACCAAAGCCTTCCAATTCACTGCAACTTCTCCTTAGCCCTCACTGTAATAGCTACTGCCTGCAAAGACCATCGCAGCAGTCGCCGAGATGCTGGTCCCGTCGCCGCTTCCGGCACCGCCACCACCACCAACATAGTAGAAAACCAGGCTGCCGACGAGCGCCGACGCGATTGGAGTCGTCAGGTTATCGTCCAAGAGCGTGCTGACCGGGAGTGACTCGACAATCGCCGCTGCAAGCGACGTGACGCCAAAGGCAGCGACCATGGTCCAGCTCTGCTCCACGAATCCGAAAAGGTGGAAGTAGCACATGAAACTGCAGGCATACCACATTCAGTATTAGTCTCGGTCTTTCAGACTGTAAAACAAGAGATGACTTCAGGCTTCAGGGTCAAGTAGGATGTGTGCATATCTTGTTGCTTACAGGATCGATGCGACGAAGCCGGCGAAGAACATTGCGATGCTTCCGGCATAGGATTTGTCGGGGTTGTGAGGGAGCTTCACATGCCCGAACCGCCTCCCGGCTATGTCAGCCACACCTGAAAGAAGCAGCATGCATAGTGTCATGCTGTTTTCTGAAACCTTCGCTCGAAGAATCAAAGGAGAGCGTAGTAGTGCCGGACAAAAACTGTAATTGCATGAGAAAGAACTAGTACCGTCCCCCGCGCACAAGTTGCAAATCACAGCAATCGAAATGGGAGACGTCCTCCAAAAGATTACGGTAGTGAGGGTTATAGTACACGCGTAATAGAGTGGGCCTTTGAGAAGCTCTCTAGAAACAATGGAGAAACGATGAAGATAGTCAGTTCATACTGTCGCGGGAATACAGTAACACAGATGGGGGAAAACAGAGGCTACCTGTAGTCTCCATTTCTTGTCATCGAGTTAACCACGCCGTCATCTTTAACTACACCAGATCCAATCAAGATTACCTTTATGATATTGAGCGCAATGACAATTGAAGCAAGAAATGGAGCATAGACATCATCTGCACTGCAATGGGGAAGAGATGTTAGAAAGGTAATGCGCAGAGTTTATGCCAAATGAAATGAAGAGCTTTGTTCGTTGGTGCTCTGGTTTACCTGAACAAAGGCCACATCAGGAAATATACCAGCCCAACACTGATGTGCACCAGCTTCCTGCAGAGTTTCTGAAAATGCAGAGCAAAGGACCCCAATCAATCTCCCATCAATAATTTGCATGTGAATCTCCATTGTCTTGGTAACTAAACGACCAGGTTAGTAATATTCCAAACTTTTCGGCCATGCTAAGTAATTTTGGTAGCTTAATTTCGCCTTTTAATTACAGGATTGGTCAGTGGGGCAAAAGGAGTAGAACTAGGAGCAGAGAGATAACCTTTCTAGGAGTACATTAACTGAGAGATGATTTCGACTTGGCTTGTGCGATTTACTCCAGAATTTCTCCGTGCAAATTGAAGCAATCATCGATCCCCAACAACAACAACAAAAATAGGAATTGTTTAGGTGGCGAGCAGAGCTTACTTGGTCCAAGAGGGCGCGGTTGCCGACCTCCTCCCAGAAGCGGAGCACCGCCATGGCGACGCATCCGGTGAGCACGGCAGCGCCGGCGTCCCGGAGAGGCGGGCTCTCCGGCCACATGGATCCACCAACGCTAGCCCCACGCAACTCGCAGACAGATTCGCAAAGCTCAACCCTTTCTTCACAGATTTGTGGCTCCTGCAGGCAGGAAGACCGAGACAGTTGTACTATCATAAATACGCTATCGCCAATCTCTAGCTGCTATTGTCCTCGCCAAGGTCAAATTGTGTATAATAACTGCAACTATCGACTAATTTTTGCTCCATGATTAACTTTTCCATGTGGCTCTGAGTGGTGGACTAAGTGAGATCCCCAGTTTCTTAATTTGCTAGAGAACATGGCAACGCTATGACTTTCGGATTCTTTCATACATTTTCTGTACAGGTTGTTATCGGTGACTTCGAAATAGCCAGGGCATATTCGGACAAAATTAGTTTACACGGAAACATTCTCTCGCCGCCCCCGCCACCACCAAAAATCTAGATCGCCTCTTCTCCTCTAGCCACTAACACGTGCGCCGTCAGGCAAAGCCCGCGCAGCGTCGGCAGCGGCGGAGAGGTCCTTCACAAATATGGTGCTCGGAGGGGCACGCAATATTGCGGAAAGGGCCGCCTGCTACGCATGCTGGCGCTCATGGAGCGGCGACTGGTCCGGGCTAGCGGCTCACCTCTGTGCATTGGCTACCTTTAGCGGCGGCCCGGCCTAGCCTAGTAATGAGAGAAGGGTGTTTCACGAAAGGATCTTGGGCGGTGATGGGCTTAGGTTGTCTTAGGGTTTTGCTTAGGGATGTGAGACGGTGACGCCGTCTCTTTGTAGGAACAAGTTTTTCCCTATCCTACCCTGTTTTATTGGTGTATTCATCGTCGGTGAAGGATGTGCAAAGTTATGTCCCAACGGTCTTTCAGGATATGCTCAGTTTAGGTTTTTGGTGGATTTGTCTGGATTGGTCTATCTTTCATGGTCTTCGGAGTTTCTACAAGCCCTTCTCGATATTTTCTTCTTTGGGGCAACAATTTTCTTTGCAGTTTCGCCACGTTAACCACACCTCTGTGGAAGACATCATTTGTCATGTCAACTGGGGGGAGACGTTTTTTTTATCGTAGATTCTGCTGTGGGGCCCAATGATGGCGGGACAGGACAACGGAACAACTCGGCAGTGGCACAACGTTTGCACACAGGATCAATCATTCAATTTCGGAGACAAGCGTTCTCCCAGCCCCGGTCCCAAGATCTCTTCACACACCTCTCTCCTTGCACACCCACCGCCCACTCTGTCGCACGCTCTAGACCTCGCAACGACCCCCATGCTGTTGCACATCCCTAGCCCTCGCATCGTCATTGCGCCAGGACTGAGCGCCGATCGCCATACCACCACCAACGAGGATGCCTTGGGAG